CTCAGGTTGAGAAACACTGGTCTACAGCCCTAGGGTTTTCCAGTGGTCTCCTGTTTACTCAATCTTGCTTAGCATTTTTAGGTTATCCAAAGTTGGCCAGGTGATGCCATCGGCTGCAGATGTGTGTCCTATGAAGATTACTTTATGGCAATGGTGGCGAACCTATGGCACGCGTGCCAGAGGCAGCACTCAGAGCCCTGTCAGTGGGCATGCGCGCTTGCGCAGGTCCATTAGGCCACCGCCACCCGGAGCAGCAGCCCCACCCAGCACAAAGGAGGTGAAGCAGCCAGTTATCAAGCTCGAGTAGAGGTGATAGAACACGCCCACGCCCAGCAAGCCACAGGCCACCCTGAGCAGGGAAAGCTGGATCCCCATCGGCGTCATGGCCCCCCAGTCCCAGCTAGGATTGCGTGCCTCTCTCCCATCTATGCTGGGCCTCCTGCTCACCGCCCCACCTGCCAGAGACCCCCTGGATCTCCCCCAACCCTGCCTGGCCTCACAGGTGTCCCCCCCATGAGCAACGTCGAGGTGGCCATGCCCACCGCAGCCATGCCCACCCAGTGGGCCACACCCCTATGCCCCCCAAGGGCACCACAATGCTGATGCGGCCCTGGCACTTTGCGATAAATAAATGGGTTTTGGGTTGTGGTTTGGGCACTTGGTCTCTAAAAGGTTCGCCATCACTGCTTTATGGCATTGGTGATGGCCGGAATGGGGCTGAGCCCTAGTAGTTACATAAAGGACCCTTGTGACTTCAAAGCAGAATGCAGCTCAAATTGGAGTCTCAAAAGCAGAGTAAGTCTAACAAATACATAAAATGAGAAATGCCCTTACTTGAAGTTCATTCATATTCATCACAGATGTGGGAGGCTTGATGGTGCCGAGACGGTACCGAACCCCTTCTTCTAGTGACATCCCCCAGAACTGGCTGTAGTTGGAAGCTCTCCAGCTAAAGAAAGATAGAAGACAATCTGCTAAAAAGATAAAGCTTGGCTTTGCTAAGGAAGTATACTCAGAATGAGCCCTGGCAATACTTCCATCTCAGGTTGTGGCTTCTGGGTCTGTTGTGGGATGAATTTATTTTTCCTCTTCCCCAGTTGCAAATTAGCTCAGAATAGAAAACAAAAGTCCAATTTTTTCTGGAGCCTGAACTTGTGAAAGGGTTAAGCATCTAAGGCAGGGGTCCCCAACCACTGGGCCACAGCCCACTAGTGGGCCAGGAGGTGTTTGTAACCGGGCCACAGAAATGGCGATGAGTGCGTGCAGGCATGCATCCCTACTTGCACGACCAGTGGGCAAACACATGCACACAAACACAAGCACACATGCTCCATTTGCGTGTGCAGCAAATGGAGCTGCATGCGCATGGGCTCATGCAGAACCATCCCTTCTCCCACCACCACCACCACCACCACCACGCTGGTCCACAAAGCCAGAAAGGCTGGGGAACTCTGATCTAGGGCAGCTGATTTGTTGCAGCTGGTTCAGAAAACATGAGCTGTAGTTCCCAGTGACGGTTTTTGCAAATGCCCGCAGAGTTTTTATTTTGAAGTGATCCACTACAGCAGTTGTTCTCAACCTTTTTAATGCCGCGACCCCAACCAGTCGTAAGTCAAGGACTAAACCGGTCATAAGTCGAGGACTAAACCAGTCATAAGTCGAGGACTACCCAACTGGTCGTAAGTCGAGGACTTTCCCTGCCCGGGAGCGCCGCGCATGCGTGGTTCCGTCCCCTGCGCCGGCCGAGGCGTAGCTGGCAAGCGGCAGAGACGGAGCAGGCCGACCACCAGCTGGCCCAGCCCAAGGGAGGTAAGGCACCCGCCGGAAAAGGGGGAAAAAATGGCAGACAGCCTTGCTTGGCGACCCCCGTGAAATGGTTAATCGACCCCAAATGGGGTCCCGACCCACAGGTTGAGAACCACTGCACTACAGCATCTGGGTGTGACCCCAATTCTTCAATTCAGCCCATGCTCCGTCAACTCAAAGAACGGAATTTTTGTTCTTACCCATAATCCCCTCTGTTGACGGCATCGATCATATCCCCGTTGATAAGACAGACGTGGCTTTCACACTCCCATTTGCCGTGTCCGTTGCAAGTACTACGGAGAAAGGACACAGCAAGGATGACTAAGGACTCAAAAGGTGACTGAGTTAATCACAAACTCAGTTCTGAGATCCGCAATGATAGGTCATCCTCAGTTTATGAGCAAAACTGGGACCACAATTTCCATTGCTAAGCAAGGGGGTTGTTAAATAAGGTATACCCAATTTTATAACCTTTCTTCCCATGGTTTTTAAGCAGATCGCTGCTGTTCTTGAGCAAATCTGATTTTCCCCATTGACTTTGCTTGTCAGAAGTTGCCTGGGAAGGTTGCAAATGATGATAACATGATGCTGCAACCATCATAAATAGAGGCCAGTTGCCAAGTGCCCAAATTTTGATCACGTGACCGTGGGGATGCTAAGATGGTTGTAAGTGCAAGGAGCAATTGGAAGTCACTTTTTCAGTGCTGTTGTAATTTCAACTAGTCGGTAAATGAATGGTTGGAAATTGAGCATTATCTGCATATCTGGTTGACGTGATTTTGACCTGCTGGTTTGGAAGCATCAAGTAAGCCTATTCCTGGTGTTTCAAGCGAGTCATGATAGGAGAACAGAGCAGTCTGAGATGGGAAAAGTCTCAAAGAGTGGGGAAAGGAAAGGATAGGATAGGATAGGATAGGATAGGATAGGATAGGATAGGATAGGAAAGAGAAAGAGAAAGAGAAAGAGAAAGAGAAAGGGAAGGAAAGAGAAAGGGAAGATGGAAAGGAAAGGAATGGAAAGGAAAGGAAAGGAAGAGAAAGAGAAAGAGAAAGAGAAAGAGAAAGAGAAAGGGAAAGAGAAAGAGAAAGAGAAAGGGAAGGAAAGAGAAAGGGAAGATGGAAAGGAAAGGAATGGAAAGGAAAGGAATGAAAGAAAGAGGGAAGGAAAGGGAAAGGAAAGAGAAAGGAAAGGAAAGAGAAAGAGAAAGAGAAAGAGAAAGAGAAAGAGAAGGAAAGGAAAGGAAAGGAAAGGAAAGGAAAGGAAAGGAAAGGAAAGGAAAGGAAAGGAAAGGAAAAAAAGAAGGTGGGCAGTGAGGCCAGACTGAGAGAAAGCCAAGACTTTGTGCCAAACTACATGTTATACAGAACAGATTTTCATCTGACTTTTTTCCATTGGCTTCATTCACACTCTCGTCCTGATTACCGGATTAACCCATTCTCTGGCTTTGTGCACATCAGACTGAGAAGGACGGGTGATTGGTGTAAAAACACCTTTATCATGATGAGACTGAACTGTTCAAGATTAAAACCAACCAACCAAATCTAGCATATTGTGCAAAGCAGCTGCCTGGGTTGGCACTGATCTTCTTATGGGGGTTGAGTGAAACCATACCCCATACCATAAAAAAGGTGGAAAAGAACCAACTTTTGGACTACTTAAACACGCGTTCCTCAAACTTGGCAACTTTAAGACATGTGGACCTCAACTCCCAGAATTCCCCAGCCAGCATATTTAGACCAATAATACAAAAGTCACAACTCAGGCACCATGTGTGATCTGGCAAGTATCCAGAATGCCCCACAACATTCCTAGAGCTTGGAGATTCCTGCACCATCTAGTGAGGCCATCTAACAACGATCAAATAATCTCCTGCTATTTTTTTCCCCCAGGAAACCGAACCAAGAAGCACGAAGGAGGTGTGGGGAGTGTGAGGAGGGATCAGCGAGAATGAATTATTTTTTTAATCTTTTATGGGGAGGGGAAATAATTTTTTTAAAAATAAATGGATATTTTTAAAAGCCCGTTCCACATTGGATCTCAGCTCCACCCCCCTGTTTTGAGGGCAGACCTTGAATTGCTGTGCAAGAGGTAAAGTCCTAATTATGAATTGCCTTTAAACCTCTTTTGTGTGTTTGTTTCCTGAGTGACTCTGTCCATGTGCTCAGTTAGCAAATACTGTACACTGCAGAAAAAGCTACTTGGTCTAGAACGGGAGTGCAAAGGTTTAACAGCAGGAGAAATAATTGGAGTTAGAAAGGATGACTGCATTCGGCTTGCAGGAGCTGCTGTTTCTGTTCAGGGCAACGTTCTGGGTCAGACATGAATAAGGACACACACAAGCTGCGGCATTCCTCTTTACTCCTAGGCGTTTGATGTAAGTTACTAAAAAAGGAAAAAATGACATCAGCCCTTTCCTGTCCACCAATAATCTCTTGAGAGAAGTGGAGACAGGGGCACCCTTCCCTCCCACCTTCTCCTCGTGTTTTGCCCATTCAAAGTCTCCTTCAAGTCAAGTACAATTCCTGGTGACATCATGAATTGAGTGAGGTAGTTTTCTTGGCAGCCGTTCAGAATAGGTCAGCCATTGCTTTCTCTCAGGAAGTGTTCTGACTTCCAGCATGCAGCCTTAACAATCCTTGAGAGGCTTCCATCCACGTTCTTCCAAGGTCTTTGAACCCTCCTTGGTTTTTAGGGGTCCACCAAGCTCAGCTAATTGGACATCCACTAGCCCAGGGGTAGGCAACCTTGGCTCTTTTATGACTCGTGGACTTCAACTCCCAGAATTCCTCAGCCAGCATGGGGGAACTTTGGTCCCTTCATGACTTGTGGACTTCAACTGGTTGTTAGCCGCCCTGAGTCCGGAAGGAGAAGGGCGGGATATAAATTAAATTAATAAATAATAAATAAATAAAACTCCCAGAATTCCTGAGCCAGCATGGGGGAACTATGGCCCCTTCATGACTGGTGGACTTCAACTCCCAGAATTCCTCAGCCAGCATGGCTCAGTATGGAAACCTCTCCCTTTCCCCTCAGCATGGCTGGCTCAGGAATTCTGGGAGTTGAAGTCCACGAGTCATAAAAGAGCCAAGGTTGCCTATCCCTGCACCAGCCGGGGGGATCTAGTCGATTTCATAATTCTTTCATCAGTTTCACCATGCCCCAAGTTAAAATCACCGTGCTTCGTGTTCCCAGGTGATGTTTTGGCGTGCTTTCTCCTAGTAGCTTCCTACCAGGAGTAAACCAGTGGTGGAATTCAGCCAGTTTGCACCAGTTCGGCAGAAACGGTAGCTAATTTTTTGTTGGCCAGGCCCAGAATGGACTTCTAGTTTTGAAGCCTTGTTAAATTTAGTTTAGACTTGCACAGCTTAAACCTATTAGAGGAAGGTATTAGCTGGGGAGCAGAACTGGAAAAGAGAGCCACGTGAAGTGTTAATACCACTTTACAATACCTTGGTAAGGCCACACTTGGAATACTGCATCCAGTTTTGGTCACCACGATGTAAAAAAGATGTTGAGACTTTGGAAAGAGTACAGAGAAGAGCAACAAAGATGATCAGGGGACTGGAGGCTAAAGCATATAAGGAACGGTTGCAGGAATTGGGTATGTCTAGTTTAATGAAGAGAAGGACAAGGGGGGACAGGATAGCAGTGTTCCAGTATCTCAGGGGCTGCCCCAAAGAAGAGGGAGTCAAGCTATTCTCCAAAGTGCCTGAAGGCAGGACAAGAAGCAACAGATGGAAACTAATCAAGGAGAGAAGCAACCTAGAACTAAGGAGAAACTTCCTGACAGTCAGAAAATTAACCAGTGGAACAACCTGCCTCCAGAAGCGGTGAATGCTCCAACACTGGAAGTTTTCAAGAAAAGACTGGATGGCCATTTGTCTGAAATGGTATAGGGTTTCCTGCCTGAGCAGGGGGTTGGACTAGATGACCTCCAAGGTCCCTTCCAACTTTATTATTATTATTATTATTATTATTATTATTAATAATAATAATAATAATGGGCCTTTTCCTCCATGAATTTAACCCTGCCCCTCTAAAGCCATCCAAGTTCATGGTCATCACCAGGATGTGCAGGAATGAGGGGTCCTTGGTGCCTCTGAGCTTGGTTGTTTTCTTGCAGACGTTTCCTTACCCAACTAGGTAACATCATCAGTGCTGGCAGTGTTAGTCTGGATAATGAAACATCTGCCTGAAAACAACCAAGCTCAGAGAGCACCAAGCACCCATCATTTCAAGCTACAAAGCTATTCTCTTTTGGAGAAGAGCCTAATGCTGGGAAAGACTGAGTGCAAGAGAAGAAGGGGACGACAGAGAACGAGGTGGCTGGACGGAGTCACTGAAGCAGGAGACGTGAGCTTAAAGGGACTCCAGAAGATGGTAGAGGACAGGAAGGCCTGGAGGAACATTGTCCATGGGGTCGTGATAGGTCGGACACGACTTTGCAACTAACAACAATGCATTTTACAGAATAACGGCATGGAAATTCTGACGTGATATAAATATCTTCTACGTCCGCCTTCCTTGGAACGATGCTGTCCAAATTTGGCTTGGCTGGCTGGCTGGCTGGCTGAGAATGGAAGTCATGATCCAACACATCTGGGAGGGGCAACGATTGGGAATGACAGTTGTGCATCTGGGGGATGTGAGCTGCGTTTAAGCAGCCACCTTGGCTTGTGTGGAATATAACAAGTACAACAGTCCCTTTCATAGAAGGTTAAAAAATACCGATTAAGAAATGTTTGCCTCCTTGACAGGCAGCCACAAACAGTATTAGCTGCCCTTCGTGCAATGCCTGGCATTTTCTTTCGGTCCAAAAATCCCCCCCCTCTCTCTAACCCTCCAGCAAACATTTCTCCTTTTATGGGCTGCATTAGCAAAAGCAGCTCATACATTTCTGAGTGATGGTGCTCGGAGAGGCCCGTTTCTGGAAGCAACCCAAGATGGGAAGTCCTTTAAGAAAAGGCCAGCTGGAAACCAGACTTTCTGAAGGTGGAGGAGTCCTAGTTCTCTGTCGGTTGAACCGGTCGACCAACCGACTCGAAGACTGAACGTCTAGACTTGGGAGGACTGTGGACGAAGATTCTGTCACTACCGCTTGGAAAATCTCTGGTTCACGGGTTTGACGTTGGGTTTTGGGTGAATACGTAGCAGCCCACGGCCCACCCACACCGGGTGACCCACCCGCACCGGGATTGGGTGGGCGTGGCTGCGGTGGTAACGGCAGACTGGGTGGGACTAAAAAGTTCAATCAATCAATTCCAACTTTGCAAGATCTTTTTTTTTCCCGTGAGAAGTTGAAATTGATTGATTGATTGAACTTTTTTTTTTTTTTGCACACGACGGTGGAGGCCTAAAGCGAAAAGGTTTTATAAAAGCCAGCTGAAGGCCTAGGACTGGGGCGACGGCGCGTGTGCCCACAGAGAGGGCTCTGAGTGCCGCCTCTGGCACCCGTGCCATAGGTTCACCACCACTGTTCTAAGATTTAACCAGCAAGGAATTGTCTCCCGTCATTTTAAAGAACCATCCCACCTTTTCGGAAGCGATTGTTGAGAAAATAAGATTGCTGTTTCCATAGCATCCACTTTAGCCTACGGCTGCCTTCGCACAGCCCTCTGAACTGGGGCAGTGAATAATCTAGCTGTGATTCAATTCAATACCTAGTTAGTTTTCACTTGGATTGTTTTTTTGTGTGTTTTTTTAAAAATGCAGCTCAGTGGGGGGGGGGGGTGAATCCAGGCTGTTCCTTAGTTTAGGGTTTAGCATCTTGGCTAAACCCAGAAATTGGTTCCTCCGGGAACAGTATTGAGCAGGTTGTGTGAAGGCAGCCGGTGGGAACGAGAAGGATCGCCGCTAAAACTCCAGTCAAGGCTGACATGCCCAGTTCTGTTCCGTGTATCCGTGTGGCTCAGAGTAGACAGGAGCCCCCGGGCACTGGGAAACGCACATAGTTCAAATTCCTCTCCATTCCAAAGTTTCTCCCCTTTGCCCCCAATCATAAACAGACCCACAAGCCCTACTTGGAAGAACGCCCTGCCCTAGACCCTTAAGGCAGCCATTGGCCTCTTGGCCTTCATTCCTTTTATAGGATCTCTAAACTCATTTTGGAGGGGGAAGGCAGTGGAAACAAGGGTGGGGTGAGAGATGGAGAATGAAAAGAATGGAAAAAGAGACGAGGAGATGCGCCATGCCTTCATTTTGTCTTTTTTTTAAAAAAATACTGGGGAACTACAATACCCAGAATCCCCACCCTTAAAAGTTGGTGGGGAATTCTCAGAGCACAACTTCCAGATCTATTCTGTAGAGATTGGCAGCTTTGCAGGAGCACTTCAAACTCACAGGCATCGCCCCGATTTTGGTAGGACTGTCCTTTCTACACACAGTATTTTCCAGGTGTATTGAGTTACAACGCCCATTATTCTTCAGCCAGCAGAGTCCCTGAATGGTGGTGTACTCCAATACCTCTGGAAGGGATTCAGATTAGAATCTTGGGACTGCATATTGATCCATTAACCCACCAGAAGCCCAAGGTTAGAATCTGAACAAATGTTGGGCTGAGAAAAGTCCTTGTAGGACAAACCAGGTTTGTCACATCCCCTCAACCCTTATTTGACTGAGAGGTGGGAAGCTACTATGTTAAATTTCCCAGAGCATCCAGCATCACATAACTCTGAGGCATGATAGGGGGTTAAGAATGGGAACATTTAAATCAGGGGTGTCCAACCTTGGCAGGTGGACTTCAGCTCCGAGAATTCTATACTGGCTGGGAGTTGTACTCAAGTCTTAAAGTCACCAAGGTTGGACACCTCTGATTTAAATGTTCCCATTCTTAACATCCATGCTAGCTGGGGAATTCTGGGAATTGAAGTCCATAAGCCTTAAAGTTGACAAGGTTGAACTCCCCTGATTTAAACGACAATGTTCTAACCATTTTGCATTTTCTCTGACCAGTCAGTAACCTAGAGGACCTCAACCACCTCCAGAGGTGGCCCTGATCCACTTTTAACCACAAGGAGTCCCTTTCTATGTTTCCAAGGAAGCACTGCAGCATTTCTTCTGGTGTATTGTGAGACACTGGCTCTCTTTTTTTTTGGCTCTTGTGAGACTACAGGTAATCCTTGACTTAGTTCCATTTGTTTAGCAACCATCCAAAGTTACAATAGCACTGGAAAAAGTGACTTACAACCAGCTCTTGTGCTTACAACCATCACAGCGATTCTGCACTCACTGATCAAAATTCAGCACTTGGCAACCAGTGCGTATTTACCACAGGTGCAGCATCCTATATGACAGAGCAAAACTGATAGAAGAAATAGACTGAGATCCCAAAACCCAAGTCTTACCAGAGGTTGCAATTATCCCGGTAAGTTGCTCCAGGGTGGAACTTGACACCATTGCGAATGCAGTCTGGGGGGGAAAAAAAGATGCCAGAACAAAAAGGGTTAGTCTACAGAGCTCTATGTATTGTTAAGATGGCTCAGCATTTAGACCAGGAGTGTCCAACCTTGGCAACTTTAAGACTTATGGACTTCAACTCCCAGAACCCCCCAGTCAGCCATGCTGGCTGGGGTGTTCTGGGGGTTGAAGTCCACAAGTCTTAAAGTTGTCAGGGCTGCACACCCTGATTTAGATTACATTTTTGAAGTGGCGGCGAAGACCTTGTTTTGTTATTAACCAAAATCATGGCTGTGTGCAAAGAGGGAAAGCCAGTGGCATCACATGCATCGTGTAATGGCACAAATGGCATGAATCATGTGGTTGACATCAGCTGGAATGCAGATTACACCAACTGGATGATTTTTGCAATGACATCACAATGCAAGTCAGGCCACCACAGTTTGTCCTGAATGCCTATGATACAATAGCTTGCAGAAAACCTGGCTTATGGGGTGATCTTTCATTCAGGGGAAATAAGAGGTTGGAGACTTTCCCCTTTGGCAGGCAATCTCTCCCCTCCTGCGTCTGGAATGCACTGTTCCTTAGAACGGTATTTGCCCAGGTGGCAGCCTCTGGACCCTCTTTGAGCTATCACTCCCAGGATTCCCACCCACAGGCCCTGGACATTCCAGGGGTTGCAAACACATCTGGAAGGAGCCAGGTTGGGAAAGCCTGCAAAAGAGATGAGAGGTGAGATGAAGCAGCGCCAAAACCTTTAGAATTACAACCACGCAGCTTGAACTTTTAAGAATATGGCACAGGAGAGAAAGAAAAGAGGAGAAGGAAGAGAGAGGAGAACTGAGGTTGACAAGGCTGAGCTCCAGTTGCTCATTTGAGGAGTGGAAAAAAGAAAGGTGCAATTACTTTTACTGTGCAATTTATTTTATTAATCAAATTTATACGTCCGCATCTCTCACGGAAAGTGATTCTAGTCAGCGTACAACATTATTATGCTTTGCTTGTGTACTTTTCAATAAATCAGATGCTACAAACCCAGCAACATCTTCCCTGGAATTGTTTTGTTGTTTTATTTGCAGGCAGTTATAGAATCGTTATGTTTTTACACGTGCAAGAGAACACAATACATTCACAAATATGCGCCCTGCAGTGGTTCTCTCCCACTCCCTTTTTCATCTGAACAATTACTTATAGTTTCAGGACCCCACTCCCTTATAAATATACATGGATCAGACAAATGCCTGGCTTTTAACCTCTCCAAAGGGTGGTGGAAACTTGTAGAAGTTAAACTGTATTAAAACCCCCACCATTATTCAACAAGGTTGGGTGGAAATGGGTCTGAAGACGTGAAAGTTTGATTTTATCCAAGACTTCTGCCCAGAACACATTTTGAAAGTTAAATGTTGAGTCTTGAAAACGTGAAAGGTTGCGTTGAGCCCTCAGCTGTATGGAACAGGAGGCCTGTCAGTCAGAGAATATTCAAATCCAATTTAATTTTAACATTCCCTGCCATAGCTTTTGGGATTACAACTCTCAGAAAGGCAGTGGTAGACTAGACAGGCATTTCCTTACCTGCAGGATTTCTTTACCTAATAACTTATTATGGTTTGTTGCATAGTCAGTCAGATGTTTAGATTGGGTCAGGCTTTTTTATCCACCTATTGAGTGCTTCTCAAAGGCCTGGGCTAAACAGATGTTGTTGTTTGATAGCAATAGCACTTAGACCAGTGGTTCTCAACCTTTTTAATGCCGCAACCCCAACCGGTCGTAAGTCGAGGACTAAACCGGTCATAAGTCGAGGACTAAACCGGTCGTAAGTCAAGGACTACCCAACCAGTCGTAAGTCGAGGACTTTCCCTGTTCGGGAGCGTCGCGCATGCGTGGTTCCGCCCCCTGCGTCGGCCGAGGCGTAGCTGGCAAGCGGCAGAGACGGAGCAGGCCGACCACCAGCTGGCCCAGCCCAAGGGAGGTAAGGCACCCGCCGGAAAAGGGGAAAAAATGGCGGACAAAAAAAATGACGGACAAAAAAAATGGCGGACAGCCTTGCTTGGCGACCCCCATGAAATGGTCGATCGACCCCAAATGGGGTCCCGACCCACAGGTTGAGAACCACTGACTTAGACTTATATATCACTTCGCAATGCTTTACAGCCCTCTCTAAGCGGTTTAAGGAGTCAGGATATCGCCCGCAACAATCTGGGTCCTCATTTTACCGACCTCGGAAGGATAGAAGGCTGAGTCAACCTTGAACCGGTGAGATTCGAACTGCCAAACGGCTGGCAGCCAGGAGTTAGCAGATGCAGCCTGCAGCAGTGCATTCTAACAAGAATGCAGCTTGGATGAAAAAGATGGTACTTGTATAGAATTCTGCTTTTTGCCCTACCTCTTCCTCCTTTTCTGAATCCCAACTCCATAAAAACAACCCAGACGGTGGTTCAAAGCAGGGTTTGGGTTAATATCCTGGGTTTAGAGAAAAGGCAGATTGCTGAGGGCATCTCTTCCAGCTTCTCCATAAGAGGTCCAGAGAAAAGGCAGCTATTGTACTGAAGGAAGAAAATCACATTTTCCTTATTGGGGGCCAAGGCAGGAGATGAGGTTGCTGCAGAGAAGTGACTGTATCCATGGAGGGACTGCTTGAAAGGCTGTTTCATAAATCCAGGAATGACCTCTGAAATGTGGGCGGGTTGGAAACCCCTATGGATTTCACAAGCAACAATGCGACCATACATTCACACTGCTCGGTTTTTTAAATGTATTTATGAAGGTTTAAAATCCTAGCCGTTAACACTTCTTAAACAAAAACGAGTGACCAGTCTGTAATATTACATATCAATTAAATAATAGTTGCGATGCCCTTCCCCTCTACAACACGTCAGTTTCTCTCATTGTCTTTTAACGGATGTGTTATTTATTTTCAATCCTTAGTAAGCCACCTAGAATTGTTCCCAAGTACGAGGCCTTAAAAGTTGAAATAATAAATAAATACAAAGTTATATTGCTATATTACTATCACAGGGGGGAAAAAACACTATGGACCCTTAAAAAAAAGAAAACAAAAGAAAACAAAAAGGCAAAAAGAAAACTTCTAAAAAAAAGTACACACACACACAGGGCGAAAAGTATTTTGAACTGCAAATGTGGAATTCTTGGTGCTTTCCAAGTTTCTCCTTGGTAGACACTACTAAGAAGAAAACCACACTGAAAGAGCAAATCTGTTATATATAAACAGAGAGCAAACCCCACTCTCTTCTAGCATTGATGATGTTACGTAGTTGGGTAATGAAACGTCTGCAACAAAACAGCCAGGGTCAGGGAGCACCAAGGACCCCACAGTCTTCTTCCTCCTCCTCCTCCTCCTCCTCCTCCTCCTCCTCCTCCTCCTCCTCCTCACCCCACTCCCTTCTAGCACTGATGATGGGTAATGAAACGTCTGCAACAAAACAGCCAGGGTCAGAGTTCAACTCTGGGCTAAAATATTCTCTTCGACTGAGTGTAATAAAAAAGTGAAACTAAGTACTATAAAATCTGGGAACAATTTTATGTTTGGATAGATAACAAGAGGGCAGCCAAGACAAATGTATAGTGTTAGAATAAAATATAGATTATAGACAAATGTATATTTAAAAGAAGAACTATATATCTATATGAATACTAATGTTACTATAAAGTGACGGAAGATGTGTGGAACCAGTGACGGCATATCTATGTCCAATGTGTTTTTAATTTTGTATTATTAATAAAACTTTAATTAAAAAGAAAAAGAAAATTAAAGAGAAGGTGTAAGACTCCTATTCACAGACCTTCTTCTCTATTCTGTTCAGCCCTGTATTCACCATAACAATGGTGCTTAGCATACCAAGGGAAAAAGGCACCACAGAGTTTCCCCCCCCCCAGCTATCATGCCTTTAATTCTTTTACTTTTCAACCCTGAAAACAGTGGAAGAAATAAAGGCATGATAGCTGGGAGGGGGGGAAATCTATGGTGCCCCTTTACCTTGGTATCCTAAGCACATCCTTACTGAATGAACCTTAGGATCTTGTCCGTTAACCAATGGAAGGGCCAAAGGGCACCATTGTTGGGCTGGGCCCAGTTGGCTTAAACCAGCCCTGATTCTGATTCAGCAGTCAATCCCTGGCAAGCCCTTCAAATCAGATGTAACTTCAGATCCACGGCTTACCTTTCTGCTGTGAATACGGTGGTTGAATGCCCAGACAATATTCCCAAAAATCAGGGCAACAGTCAGAGATGGTTCGGTTGCAGAAGAGGTCGCAGTAGCAAAGGGTATCAAAGTAGGGGATGGTGCAGGCATCATCCCTCCCGCGACAACACGCATCCTGCCGGCCACAGTACGAGCCTTCTGCATCCCGTATCCCCTGTTCGTGCAATCCGGGTGCCAGTTCCCTCCGCGTACGATGCACCCGAGCAGTCTCGCCCATGAACAGCAAGGTGCACAGAAGAATCCAGCTTTTCATGGTGTCCTCCTGAGCGGCTGAATCTCAGATGTTCTGGAGAGAGGAGACAAATACATCTGGAATCACATAGCACAATGTCTCCTTTCCACCTAACCCAGTCTGCTAAGAATGGACCCCATTGGAAGGAGATGAATTTCCCACCGGTATGCTGGAAAGCACTGGGAGAAAAATTGATTTTTCCTGAAGCAGTAGGCGTGAGCTTAAATGGACTCCAGAAGATGGTAGAGGACAGGAAGGCCTGGAGGAACATTGTCCATGGGGTCGCGATGGGTCAGACACGACTTCACAACGAACAACAAAACTGGGTCATCAGGAGGCAGAGACCGAACATTCTCCTAAGCTAGGAATTTTGCTAACTATAATCACATACAACCTAAGGTAAATCCTTCAAGATAGATCAGACTAGGAATTCACTATTGTGCAGGTCAGAACTACTTTTGCTGTAAAACTATAGGAACAGGAATCTTTCTGTCTGAACGTGCTTCCCCCCCCTCTGCCTTTATCTTTGTGAGAACTAGGAAGGGTCTTGTGTGAGGTGCTTCCTTAGGTTACATCCCTGTCCAAACTCAGGTTTCTTTTATCTGGACAATGTCTTGGTAGTGATTTTTCCTCCTGTCCCTCAAGGCCATTTCCTCTTTCCTCTACCCCTGGTTTTCACTTGGATTAGGGGAACCAACTACCTGGAAGATAGCACTAGCCCAGGGGTAGGCAACCTTGGCTCTTTTATGACTCGTGGACTTCAACTCCCAGAATTCCTGAGCCAGCATGGCTCAGCTTGGAAACCTCTCCCTTTCCCCTCAGCACGGCTGGCTCAGGAATTCTGGGAGTTGAAGTCCACGAGTCATAAAAGAGCCAAGGTTGCCTACCCCTGCACTAGCCCATCCCTTGTGTACTACAGTCATCAAAACTACATGAAGGTGTCCATGTCAGACACAAGCACCCAGATCCAAATATGAAGGGTTCAGGTTTATTGTACCCAACTATAATATAAGAATCTCCCCAGATGACTTATCCTCTCTTGGGAATAAACAGATAAGGCCCATGGAACATAGGGGGTGTCGATCCTAAGCCTCTTGCTGCTATGCAACAACTCAAGACTAACTCCCCGTTTGATCCCTCCTCTTTGCCTGGCTGGGAGTTTCCCAAGAGCGCATGAAGACACCAGGAGTTGAGGTCAAGAATAACTTTGCTTCTTTCCAAATATTCTTCAAGTCCCTCTTGGAGTCCCTTGTCCTGCCCTTTGTAGCGCCTTAGCATGGGTAGGTTTTTCTGAGTGTTTTACCTATAAAATTCCAAATCTGGCCTAAATCATTTCTGTTACATTGTCATGTCTATTGCTGGCCCCACCGTGTCCTAGCCAGCTCTCAGAAGCAAAGATTGTGTTCGGGACATTGTCCTGTTTACATGGCCCCCCAGAATGGAGAAAAGCAAGCAAAAAGTTTGAACTCTCGACCTGAAAGAGTTTCTTTGAACTGGGAGGGGAAAGGATAACCCTCCCACATCAGCCTGTTTAGTGGAGACTCAGAAGCAAGTTAATTCCATGACTCTTAGGCTCCTTCAGTTTCTCACTTTAGTCTGCAAAGGAGATTTGGTTAAGGGCCACCCCATGTCCACATTGTCACAGCCACAGCCACATCTTTCCCTGCTGCACTTCACAAGTGACATTTTTCCACGTTGGCTGGTCCAAAGCTCAAGCGAGCAGTCAGTCTGTGGTGAATTATTTCAGGTAAACTTAAAGACAGAGATGGGTTGGGGGTGGGACCCTCTGCTCCTATTGCCCTCCCAGTGCTAAGTAGGCAGGCCCCAACTCTGATTCTTTGCTAAGTGGGGAGGAGAGGAATCCCAGGGTGCTACAATGTCTTCTTCAACTATACCAGGACTACGATTGAGGGACGCCTAGAGGTTATCCAGCTCATTTATCTGCTCTACGAGCCAAAGACGATCTGCTTCACACAACATGCTGAAATAAGGCCAGGGGTTTCACAACACCCTGAGCCCCAGACTACTCAATTCTGTTTTCACCTGGTCTTTCAAGTTGTGGAAATCCAGCCAACCTGAAATTGTTTTCATTTTCCCTTCCCAGGGAGCTGGACACTAACACTACACATATATGGCTTCTTCTCTGGATGTTTTTCTCTTGTGCGTGTGAACTAATCAAAAAGGGGGAAAATACAAACCTAGAACTCCCAAATAAACCCGCAAGGGGGGGGGTTCCTACAGAAGAAAATCTGGGCTTAAAGTCCTCTATCCCCTGCTTCGGAAGTCATGGGCCAGGTAGCCACCATCTCCACCCCTTTGCCATGGAAACCTCTCCCGCCCTTCGGAAGCTTATTGCAACTCCCCCAAACCTTCACCTCTTCAGGAATGAAGATCTTTTGGATGATCTCAGCCTGCAGCAATGCAGCAGATCATCATTTCCAAAAGCAGCAGCAGCAGCAATGTTGGCCACCAACTCCGGAGGAAGGAGCCAAAGGTCAAAAGCCAAGGAAGGAATTTTCTCTTGTCTTTTCCCGTGCACCTTTCACTCGGTCTTCCGGGAGGGATGCGAGGCCGTCCCACTGAGCTTCAGAGTTTCATTTTTGATTAACTTTGCTCCCTGACCTCTTCCAGCAAAGTCCAAGGCAGGCTTGCTTTTTACACACATGTGCCTTATCTGCCCTGAACAGCTGTGTGAACTGTGGGGGTCTCTCTAGCTTCAGAGGTGTGTTCAAGCTCAGAAGGGATTCGTTTCTGCCTTTCATTTCATTTCAGAAGCCTTTGGACAGGGGCACCAGGGGTATGCAACGATCCCAGAAGACATTCCTGATCTACTAGATCCCTCCCTCCCAGGTCCCTCTGGTGACCCAAGGAAGGTTTGTAGAGTTGTAAAAGCTGCGTTGGTGACCATCTAGTCAAAAGGTCTGTTGCCGCCCCACCCAGTTACACCGGATGAAGGAAATCCATGCCTGGCCAGCCACCCAAACGCAAACCTCAGCCACACGTTCTAAGCTGAATACATGCCAATCAGTCTCAGTGCTCAGAGCACATCTCTACTTGAATGCTTAACTAATGTGGATTTTTTAAATAATAATAATAATACATTCTTATGTTAGAGTTAAAGTATGTTAATTTTGTTTGTATTATGAATGGATAGCTTAATTTAGACTTGGGATGTTATGTATTTATCCCTGTACTCAGTCCTGGGAAGTCCGGGGAGGGAGGGGGGAAGGGGATGAAGGGGTAGAATTATATAAAATTTGGTGTATTTATAAATATAATGTAAATGTTTGTCTTTAAGAAGAGGAGATGATCGGCTAGTACCCCTAAACTGCATCCGAGGTGGTGGAAAAGAAGGTGATGGGATGTGTAGGATAGTTGGAAAGGAGGAAAGAGGAGAGGTCGTGGTTAAGAGGGG